GCTTGGGGTGAAGTGATAAAAAATACTACGTACGCAAACACACACATATACACTAAATCATATATATATATATATATATATATATATATGTGTGTGTGTGTGTGTGTGTGTGTGTGTGTGTGTGTGTGTCCTCAAGGACACATGGCACAGTGGATAAAGGCGTCGGTTAGATCTAGTGACAGGACCCAAACAGTGTGAGTTCAATACCCGGTTAAGGCAGTGGAAAACTTTCAGAGGGAAAATTAACAGGAGATAACTGATAACTGACATCCATTAAACATGGCACGTGGAACTAGAAGAGTCTACCCCAGTGATCGAAATAAAGGGTTCAGTTCGACATTCCAACCACCTGAAGAAGGCCGGAGCGTACAACGGCCGAAACGTTGTGATAAATATGGCGACAAAGATGAGGACAATATACATATATATATATATATATATATATATATATATATGTGTGTGTGTGTGTGTGTGTGTGTGCGCGTTTGTTTATGGGTGTTGATCTATATCAGTGTGCCTTTGCTTGTATTGTCTGAAATTATATTTTGTCTGTATGTACATGTTTGTTTCCATGAGTGTGTCTTTCCATCTATACGACTGTGTGTCTTTGGGTTCACACGTGTGTGGAGACTGATCTGCAATCGAAAAAAAAAATGCTTATAAAGGCGCATAATCGATAAGTCTGGAGGACTCTTCAGTAATCACTGCTACCTGACCAGCACTTGAGAATCGGACGTCTGTTCTAATGACTACCTCTTGGATCCAATCATCTGTTATTATCTCGCCTTCCATTATAGTTTTTCATTCACTTGGAACCTCTTGACTGGAGATATATTCTGCGTGAGTAAAAGTGTTTGGGTTGGGAAAATAAAAGAGGGAGAACTTTGCAGAAAAAGGCACTGGTACACTTGAAAGTGGAATCGAAACTGATATGTTTCCAGTTTTCATCGCTTTTACGGCGTTCATATCTATCAAATACAAATTCTGATTATTGATCTCGTGCTGTCTGTATCTGTTAATAAGACATTATCTGTCTATCTGTCTATTCCGGTCTTCTTATCTATCTATCTAGTCCAGTTTGTTCCTATCTATCTATTTTAGCTTGTTATTTATTTATTTATTTATTTATTTATCTATCTATCTATCTATCTATCTATCTATTCCAGTCTGTTCCTATCTATCTATTTTAGCTTGTTATCTATCTATCTATCTATCTATCTACTAGAGTCTGTTCATATGTATCTATTTTAGCTTGTTATCTATCTATCTATCTATCTATCTATCTATCTATCTATCTAGTCCAGTTTGTTCCTATCTATCTATCTATCTATCTATCTATCTAGTCTAGTTTGTTCCTATGTATCTATTTTAGCTTGTTATCTATCTATCTATCTATCTATCTATCTATCTATCTAGTCCAGTTTGTTCCTATCTATCTATCTATCTATCTATCTATCTATCTATCTATCTATTCCAGTCTGTTCCTATCTATCTATTTTAGCTTGTTATCTATCTATCTATCTATCTACTCGAGTCTGTTCATATGTATCTATTTTAGCTTGTTATCTATCTATCTATATATCTATCTATCTATCTATCTATCTATCTAGTCCAGTTTGTTCCTATCTATCTATCTATCTATCTATCTATCTATTCCAGTCTGTTCCTATCTATCTATTTTAGCTTGTTATCTATCTATCTATCTATCTATCTATCTACTCGAGTCTGTTCATATGTATCTATTTTAGCTTGTTATCTATCTATCTATCTATCTATCTATCTATCTATCTATCTAGTCCAGTTTGTTCCTATCTATCGATCTATCTATCTATCTATCTAGTCCAGTTTGTTCCTATGTATCTATTTTAGCTTGTTATCTATCTATCTATCTATCTATCTATCTATCTATCTATCTATTCCAGTCTGTTCCTATCTATCTATTTTAGCTTGTTATCTATCTATCTATCTATCTATCTATCTATTCCAGTCTGTTCCTATCTATCTATTTTAGCTTGTTATCTATCTATCTATCTATCTATCTATCTATCTATCTATCTACTCGAGTCTGTTCCTATGTATCTATTTTAGCTTGTTATCTATCTATCTATCTATCTATCTATCTATCTATCTATTCCAGTCTGTTCCTATCTATCTATTTTAGCCCGTTATCTATCTATCTATCTATCTATCTATCTAAACCGCTCTCTGCATTGTCGATCTGAATATCGGTCTCAGATCCCTTATAAAATACCCACATTTATATCTATATATGTTTTTACGTGTGTGCCCATAAAAAGCTATTCTTTCATACAACTAAACACATAAAAGTTATTAAATATTAATAAATTAAAATAACACAAACTACTAAAAATACATATAAAGTTAACACAAACACACACAAATACAAACACACACACAAATACAAACACACACACACAAATACAAACACTGGACGGACATATATGAACACGTACACGTGCCAATAGGTGTGAGCGTGCATGTTTGAATCTATGTGCAGGTAAATGCGTGCACATACATGAGCACACACAAACACACACAAACACACACCCACAAAAACATACATGCAACAGAAAAATTCAATCATGACCTAAATTAAATGGTTAAAACAATAATAATAAACCAGTGATCAACGGAGAAAATGAGGGAAGAAAGAAAGAAAAAGATGAAAAAAAGGAAGGGGTAAAAGAAATCAGCAACCAATCAACACCCATCAAGCGTAAAGGGAAGTAACACACCCATGTCACAATACAAATACAAAAGAATCGAAAAATATCAACAGTTTAACTCTGTTCTGACGAGTGGTTACATCTGTATAGACATGAAACTTCGAAGTACATATGAGTTAAGAGAAAAAAAACTTTTTTTTATATTAATGCTATTAACGCTGTATCGTTATCTTTGATATTAAGCACTCTACCACAAAGATGCTTGCCATAAATATTTCCTGAGCAACAAGCAACTGAAAAACCATCTATTTTGTCTTCAAAAAAGTCTTTCTCTAAATATATATATATATGTATATATATTTAATCATCTCCCCTCAAGCAAGAGAACCATACCATTAAGACACAAGCGGTTATTGGAAGTGATATATAAGCGTGTGTGCGTATAAATTTTCACACATGTCTTTCCACACGTGGGTGTGCATATTTACTTCCTCACAGCTGACTTGTGTGTGCGTTTATGTTTAATTTCTACACTTGCCTTGATAAAGTTCGAAATGCATGGGTATAAAACATTTTCCTCTTATCTGTTCTTTTATATATATATATATATATATATATATATATATATATATATATATATATATATGTGTGTGTGTGTGTGTGTGTGTGTGTGTGTGTGTGTAAACACATATATATAGCAATTAACCCTATATGTAAATATATATATATATATATGTATATGTGGAATATATGATTCTTTTAACGTCATATATATATATATATATATATATATATATATATATATATATGCAGAAGGGGAGAGAATGTAGAGGTATATATTTATCACGTTTTCTCCATATATGTGTGTGTGCATGCGTGGGATATATATATATATATATACGCACAAACACACATATATATGTACGTGTATGTGTATACATACAGACATGCATGCATATATATATATATATATATATATATATATATATATATATATAGTGGGATAAATATATATATATATATATATATATATATATATGTATATATATATAGTGGGAGAAAGAATATAGGCACATAAAACAGAATGTGTGCGAAAGCGAAAAATATAAATTTATTCTGAATAATATTTTGTTCATAATCACAAATCGATGAAACAGAGTACGAAAGAAAAAAAAAACATGGCCTCCAAGTTATGATTCCACACCGCCATAATCGTAATTATGATCGTGGAAAGTGATATAAAAAGAAAACTAAAACTCGAGTATTAAGTCTCTTGTTGAATAATTTCTCTTGGTTTGAAAAGTAACGCACACACACGCGCACATACATACACAAATAACTTACAATCACAGCCCCGCATACACGATCACACAATCACAGCCCCGCACACACGATCACACAATCACAGCCCCGCATACACGATCACACAATCACATATACATACGCAGTCATTTATCTCATCAGCTTTCGTAAAACAATTTCACAAGTGAATCGGATGGAATTTTAAAATAAGCGAATCATTTTTCTATTTTTTTCCATATTACTATAGATTAACCATTCCAGATTATGAACCACCTTTTTTGTGCTACTTTGGCTTGTTATCTACGTGTCGTGAATCTACTTTGGCACGCGATCTATACTTAGATTCATGATACATAACCCCCCCCCCATCAAAATAATCTATACTTTATTTTGATTTCTTCTATGTGTCGTGAATCTACTTTGGTATGAGATCTACACTTACACTACAAATACAGTAGACGGCATTACTTTGGCTTGTTATCTACGTGTTGTGAATCTACTTTGGTATGCGATCAATTTCTATGTATCTTTAGAATCTCATAAATATTTTTTTTTTAAATATTTTAATTTTTTTTTAAGCATTTCACCTCAAGCAAAGCGGGATGCCACTAGCACGCAAGGGGTTACAAGGAGTGGGGGCCAGAGTAAAGAGACGTGATAGAGGAAATGATGGAGAAAAGGACAGGGAATAAGTCAGGGTATCTGGAGATGTCGATTGACATTACATTTGAATAGTTGAAGCAATCAGGGAAACAAGTAATAGGAAGGGAATTCCACAGACGGGAAGTGCAAGACATGAAGCTATTGTAGTAGAAGAGACGGCTACATTTAACTGTTTCGACAGTGAAAGGATGGGATTGAGACGCCAGACTAGTAGTTCGCTTAAATTCATGCAGTCTGGGAACTAGCGAAAGTAGTTCGTCGGAGCAGTTACCGTGAAAGTATTTGTAGAAAAGACAGAGGGAGGCGACGGCACGTCTGTGAGAGAACGACTGTAGTCAAGATGCCAGATCAGAACCAACCACATTGCATATCCGTCTCTGAATCTTGTCGAGGACCTTAAGGCGAACACTAAGGGCACCAGACCGTATATGACAGCAATATTCCATGCAAGGGGCGAATGGTTGAATTATAGATTTCAAGGATGAAATCGGCCGAGAAAAACTTTCTGGCGCAACACAGGAATCAACTTTACATTTCCTTGTTATATATATATATATATATATATATATATATATATATATATATATATATATATATATTATTACGTTTGAATATGTTAATATCATTCCAAATTAAAATATCTACGGTGTAGACATTTTAGCCGATGTACACGCTGTTTATCGCTAGAATATAAATAAAAGAAAAAAATGTTAATATTTTAATTACATTTTCTATATCTTATATATATGTTATAATAACTCCTTGCGTCTTAGTGGCTTCATTACCTTCTTTGGGGCGAAATGGTTAAAAGTATTTTTAAAAAATATAAAACCTAGTAGGAAAGTCCTTTTTGCACTATAGATTTGTTGTAAACTGATCCCACCTTCGGAAGCCAAAAAATATGCTCTTACCATGTGATTTATAAAAATTTAGAAATGTATTTTTGATTTTATTCGTAATCTGCAGTACTCAATCGAAAGTGATATGTGAAATAGTTTTCCCAAAATAAAGGATTAAATGCTTTTTCGCAGCTTCTTAGGAACGGTGAATATAGCCATTTTTTTTTTCTTTTTTTAGCTTCCGTAGGGAAATCAATTTACAATGGAGTTTGCCTATCGTCCGGTTCAAATTCCTCCACTGTCTTTTGAACAAGGGTAGTGGTTCATCACTTGTTTCCTGTTTAGGGTTGGATTTCAGGTTCTTTCTGATGTCTTCCCATTCTCTTTCATTACCAGTAGCCCCTTCCATCTTAGTAGCATTATCGCCTTGCTTGGAGTGAACTGATTAAAAATATACATAGCAAAGTGTGTCCCTTATTAACTTCTCTTTTTTTTTCATATTCATGTTCTGGAGTGCTTAATATATTGTAATATGAAACAAATTTGGGGAAAAAATGATTATTTCCAGTTACTGTGTCTATTCGAAAACTCCATCACGAATTGATAATAAGATAAAATTAACACAATTTCCATGATTATCAATAGATTACTATAATGACCTTTCCATACGTATTTGAACCAGCAGCTAATCCTCATTTGCGAGTCTTTAGGCATCAATCACCGTTAATAAACGCTTAGCTTTCGATAAGGCTTCTACGTCTCTTCACAAGTATTTTGACTATTCCACAATGCAAAATCGTTCAGATTCTCTGGCTTCAGTTTAGGAACAATTTTCAATTCAAGCCACAAACTTCATCTTGTATTTAGGTTAAGTGATTGCGAAGGCAATTCCATTAGCCCAGCTTCTTAAACAATTCGAAGATGGTTTTGAAAGTTTCAAAAAGTTTTTTTTTTGTTTTTCATTTTTTGAAAGTCTAAGATGTTTAAGATTACGAAGAGTAAAAAATGTATACCTATGTTTTATATGTACACCTGTTGTAACCTTGGGAAGGTTACTGAAGTGAATAATCACACGAAGGTTGGTAATGAACGATAATACTTAGAATACGAACAACACATATAAGATTCGCCAGCGGCGCGTAGAAGAAATAGTCAATTGAGTCGCTTCACTTCTTAACTCCACCTCTTAACCTCAATCAGTGTGCCTCTAACCTTGAGTGGCTTATGGGCCATTCGGAGAGCCGAGTTCTAATTGCTGGCGAATCCATTGCATTCACTTACGTGCTAATACCCTTGGGAAAGGTATGAATCTTCTTCTTCTTCTTCCCACTCCCAGATATTAATAAGTAGCAGGACAGGCCGAGTTTAATAGCCTTGGATAGCAACTGGTCTACTGCAGAAAGAAATTGCAGCCTAATGCAAAAAAAAAAAAAAAAAAAATCTGCCTCGTCAGTCATGTATCGAAAGATACATGATCGCCTAAGCGTGTATCACGTGTGGCACATAACTGACTGATTGGTGGAATAATTAGTGAAAAAAGGAAAATTTCAAACAGTAACACCAAAAAAAAAAAATATACTAGAAGAGAAAATAATGAATTAATCTGATCATTCGCTTTCTACACTACTCAAATTCCCATCAATATTAGAAAAAACCTATAAGTTATTGGATGTGAGACGTTTAATTTCCTGGAAAAATGTCTCTACTTCTATAAAACACAGATTATAAATG